ATCAGTCACTGTTGCCCAAAGAGCAGAAGAGCATTGTAAAGCTGCTTTACTTTGATAAAATTCAGTGGTAGTCAGAGCTAACCTCTGCCCATTAAACAATGATTTAATTGCTAAAGAACTAATTGCACAAGGTTATGTCAAAGGGTATTTGAAAAGGCAAAACTGAGGCAAGCGGTTTTTGCTCCAGCCAGCACACCAAGTCACAGCAACATGGCCAGAGAGCAGGTTCTCCTGTAGGCGTCCAGCAGTGGCATCTTCACACAGCAAGTACCTTCGGGCTTAACAAGCGTGTGTCTGCTTTGGAGAACTCTAAACCCACACACACTTGCAAGTCTTTTCACAAAATGGCAAAACTATTTCTCTGCTATTACTGATTTTATTAAGCAGTGATGCAAATTTCTCCCAGCATCTAGTGATCAAATTATCTTGTCTGGTAAAAGTAGATAGACTAAGAATTTAGCAGCAGTATTGAATCTAACCTTACCAGCTCAGAGTTCCTACCACACATTCATGACTGAGACTGCCTATGGCTCCAGAATCGTGTTACATTACTACAAAACCAAACCAAACCAAACCAGCAAACAAAACCCCCCCAAACCCAACCCAGTTAAGATAAAATGAAAAAGTCATTACTCTTAGCAACAAAGTACAACTGCAGTGTAGACAATATTCATTAAGATCATTCCAGAGAAGGATTCTGCATCCTCTTTGGAAGATGAAAAATTAGATTTCATGTATTCCATGCCATGTACCTACGTGACCATTCTTTCCTATTCAAGAGAGTGGAAAAGAATAGTGTTCTTCTCTGGTAACATTTTCAAAATATTAGACAGCTGGGACAAAACAACAAAATTCCTACCTGGACTTCTCCTAGACTTGGAAATATTTAAATACTGGGCTCTGATTCTCAAGTGGAAAATGAAAAATAATACAGATTTTTCCTGGATGGGGAAACCACAGTGGAAACTATGCAGTCTGCATTTGTGCGCTTCCATACCTGTTATTGAAAAAGATTTCTTTCGGAATAGTTTTAAAGTATTTGGAATGCGTAAATGCAAGTCAGAGTTATTTTATACTATGATCTTAAAAGGCAAAAACATATGGATAGCACCCTTTATTCTGAACTGCCATTTGTTTTCTGCTTCCATGAGAATGCAACTTCACTATCTAAGACTTCTAGAGAATTATCAAAGAACAACCCACTAAAATTACATAACTTTTGAGTTTCTGGCAGACAGGTGAGCACATGGCACTGACAATGTCTTCTTGCATTACGACAAGGATGTTATGTTTCCACTACACAGAGGAAGGTTTACGTAACCATTGTACCATCCTGGGCAAGTGAGCCTGCAGCAGAAAGAGAACTCTCAGAAAGAAAGTTTGGGTAAGTTTTTCCTCCCTCATTTCCAAAAATAAAACTTTATATTTCTAGTTTGAGAGTTTTCATTGTTGCAGGTGCTTTATGCTGGACTACAGAGAAGCATGGTACTTGCAGAAACAGTAGACAGTCAGCAGCAACTCAGGCTGCCTTGAGTGTTGCCTTCTGGGGTTTCCATCATGTTCTTTTCCAGTTCTGCATAAACAAAAAAGTTACAAAATCAGTTCACAGAAATGAGACCATGCAATACTAAGGGTAACAAAAGCTGAATGCAGCCCCAGTCACTCCTATATGCTAGAACGCAGGCAGACCATGACATGAATATGCTTGCAGGTGTTTTAAACAGGCTTTAATTTAATTCTTGAAAAATCTCCCTAATCCTTCAGACGGTAGACAAGGAAAACACATGAAAAGCAAAACTTCACATACTGATGAGGTTTCCTGACCCAATTTGGGTCATGTGCCCAGCAGTTTTCTCCAGCTCCTTTATCATGGACTGTTCAAAGGCCAAGGCAGCAACTCGGGAAAAGAACTCTTTGACATTTTCCCCTAGGAAACAGGACAGAAACTATGTGTTTTTACAACTGCACAACAACACACAATCAAGCATAACAAGCATATCTGTCTGGGACAGAACAGGCCTCTCCAACAATCTGTCCTCCTCACTGCAGAGAGATTTTCTCATTTTCTTACTCTGGAACACTGTACCATGTACTGTATCTTTAGTTTTAGTCAGCAACAAGGAAAATTCATTTTGTGGTATAATTTTTTTTCATGGCTCATGTTGAGTAGCAGCGCACAGGTGTATTTATGTAACTACCTATGAATTAATCATGCTTAGACATTGCACAGCAGCTCAAGTAGTCCTTTCTGTAAACACGACAGTGCAAGCACCTGCACGAATGCTCAAATAAAATCCACCATTAATAAACTTGAAGTTTCCAATAGCAACAAAATGCAAGAGCAACAAAAAACCTGCATGGGAATGGGGGGATAAGGAACTTTAACTTCCTCCCACCTTAACATAAGCCTTTGAGGTTACAGTGTTTTTACATCCTTTGCAGTAACTTACCCGTTTTTGCTGAAACTGACCAGTATTCTGCTTGCATCTCATTGGCAAAGCGGATGGCATCTAGCTCTGTCCTTTCACACACAGCATCTGACTGAGCAAATAACACGGAATAACTTTAACAGAAGAAGTGTATCCAGGCTGATAACAACACAGAGGCACTGCTAGCACCTACACTGTGATGCTTCCAGTTTTCACGGTGGCCTTTCTGGCCTTGCCTTAGAACTTGTGCAATCAGACATCCCTGCAAGAACATCCAAGTGCTTAGTATTGCTTTTAAAATGGAAGTCTCCATTCACCTCCCACAGCACCGAAACAAAACAACAGTAAACAAGCGTGAGCATTGTATCTAACTATAGAGTGTGGTAGGAAGCTATAAAGACAACAGCCCAGTTATGGCTCTTTAAAATCTTTAAATTCTTGTCACCCCATCGTTCTCAGCAGAAGAGTTGCAGGCTCAACTAATCACAATGGTTCTTTGGGTTTAATCTTTCCTGTCTCTGTCTCAGATCCTTTTTTCTACTCTATCTATTTTTACTATGTTGTAACACAACGGCCTTTCCCCCTTTTTATTTTTCCTCTGTTTTTATCTCTTCTTAAGACTAAAATGTCTTGCCCCTTTCAATGGAATTTGCTTTCTTGCACTTAATTTTCAGGTCCTTTTCCCCTCTCTGTTCTCTGTGATCAACTATATCATTAAGTTGCTACTCGCTTTTAAGTTCTAGCCCATTTGTGATGGATGATATCAGTTGTCTTTGTTTGTACAGTTTTCTGTGCGTTGTCTTACAATGGGGAACCCCTGCACAATTGAGAAGAATTCTAAAAATTTGGAAAGGATGATGTGACATCAAGATGAGAAATAGAGTGTAAGTAGTTGGGAAGATACTGGCTTCATACTGAAGTAACACCTAGAACCCACAATCCTTTGCTTTGCTCTTGTTTCCCTTTCAGTTGAAATTGCTATCATTCTAAAAACAAAAACTAACTTACGGTAGGGAATTCTAGCTTAGACAAGACTTCAGATCTGCATCCTCAGAGGTCTGGCACATTTAGCTTTTACTGTAACTCAGAAAAATCAGCATAAGAAAAACAAAGTACCAGAAAAACTGATAGACTTGCAGTTTTCTGGGACTTATTTTCAGTGAAGGGTAAGAAACAAACTGCATAAGTGACACTGTGGTAGCTGGGGCAGGATGGGAAATAAAAAAATAAACCAAACAGCAGAAGAAGCAAGTTTGGTTTGAAATATTTAAGAATTAAGTACTGGTAGCTAGAGAAAGACAAACACAAGACTCAAAATGGTACAGGGTGCGTGCATTATATCCTGTCCTAAAAAATGATCTCACATTCAATTAAGAATTCTTCCCTGTTCCTGAATAACGAACAAACTGCTCCTTAAAAAACAAACCAACAAAACCTTCAAGATCATGAGGTACTCTGTTCTTTTGGGCACACAACTTTTCTCGGCCTTTTCAGTTGTTTGTATGTGCTTGAAAAACCTCATGCGAGGAACGGAAATAGGGATATTTCCCTAACTACCCATTTTTTCAGAAAGCACTTTCTTAAATAGGTTCCAACTGTGCTGTTCTATTTACCTGTGACGGTCTTTCTTTCTGTTTAGGTTTTTCCCTCAAGATCTTTAACTTAGCAACATTGTGTGCAACTTGTAAAGGAAATCACTTGAGGAACTAGGGGAAATCCAACTTCCTTATCTGCATTCAATTTACCTACCACCAAATCTTTTTTTGTTCCAACTAGAAAGATGAAGCTGGAATCTGGCTCATTCTCCCTCAATGCATCTTCTAGCCACTGTCTGAAATACAAAAGAAATGAGAGAATCAGTCAGAGGGACCGAGGAATACAGGGCAAAGTGACAGATGATAGAGTTACAAGAAAAGTGAGAGGATGAACTTATGCAAGAGTATCAAAAGCTCAAAAGCCTTTTTTTTCTGGACAGAAAGAGACCAGGAGCTATTCCAACTCCTTTGAACACATGACTTCCACTAATGAAAATTTCAAACATGTCACTGTAGAGTTCACATTCAACAGTGATTTTACCACCCAGAGATGGTATTTTCAGCATAAGGGAGGGGGCAAAGTTTTGATTGAGATAAGGAATAAGAAAACAAGAAGCAGAGGAAAAGGTATGAAAAACATAGCATGTTAGATACAAACGGGAATCCAGAAGAGTGAAATAATCTATTCAGCATTATAAAACAGCTCGTTACGAAGGCTGCATTATTCTTGTCTCATAAGCTTTTATATTTTTGTTACTCTGGCAATGAAGTTCCTCTTGAGTCATCCAACACAAGTCAAGGAGGGAAGTGAGTGTGTGTGTGGGGGGCAAATCAGGTTCACAGGCTTCAATTATTTTCAGCCAAGCAGAGACACTAATACATATTATTTTACAAAGTCCTATGCAAATGAGCTAAGTACCACAGCAGTAGCCTGAAGAAATAGTCTAATACACATTCAAATAAGACAGAGGACAGGTTGTAAAGAAACAGGTACTTGCATTACAGTCACAACAGCATGTTAGAAATACATACACTCTGACCTGGCGACAATAATGTGGATCATAGATCCACGTAGGGTTTTGCAGCCTGCACTAAAAGCAGAACAAGTTTACTCGTAACAATTAAGTGCTGTTGTAACCAAACCATTACAAGTATCTGAATGAGTAAGTTTAGCTTTATCTACATATACTTTGAGTTTTTAATTTTCTTTCCTCTTTTTGACAGCCTACCTGCCAACAGAATCACTACAGAAACCAGAGAAAGAAAGTAATTTTGGGCTAGCAGTGCACCTAGAAAGTAAGAGGCTCTTGAGTCATTACGCATGAGATGCATCGGATCAGTTTCACCTTTGACATCAGATGCCAGCCTGTTTACAGCCAATGGAGACAAAAAAGGATGCTTTTGGGGTGCACTTCATCTCTTCCTGCATGTCTAGTTTTGGAAGGATCAAGCTCTTACTGAAGTGCCTTTTGCTCTTCAAATACTACAAAGGAAGTCAAGGGTAAGTATTTATGCTCTGCATTTTCTTCAGAAAAGTCTCACCCTACGTAATACAAAGAAGTGACTTTCATTCTTCATTTCTTAGCTCAATAGGAACACTCGTGATCCAGCAAATTCTCAGCAAACTACAGGCTATCCAAGGCAATTAAACCTGCTGTAGAAGCTTTAACGGCTAAGCCAAAATACAGCAACTTACTTGGTGTGTTCCAAAGTCTGGATATCAGCCAGATCAAACACTGTTATTATAACTGCAATAAAAGACAAGAACACAAAAAAAGTGATTAAGGTAGAAAGTGTATCAGAAGTCTTTCCAACTCATCTTGTTAAACAGAGAGAATGTTTACATACAAAGGGCAAGAGCAGATTTAACACAGAGGAGATGGAAGACTACCCATTTGCTCATTCCTCTTCCTTCTCTAGCACCCAGTAAGACTGAAGTCCTCAGTCTTCAATCTCAGTCTTTACCTGTAGTCTGCAGTCTATAGTGCTATTACTCCTTTTATTTTGGGACCACTTTAATTCCTGTAGAAATTGTCCATTACCAAAGGGAATGACAGAAGTATCGACTTCAACTTCAGCAATAATCTTATCCAAACCCAAATTCTTTTCCCCTTAGACACAAGCACCAATTTTTATCATTGCATCATCAGAACATGCAGAGCTTGCAGGTGTGACAATATATCAATTCACGAGCTTTTTCATCCCTTCTTCTCTCCAGTAATGGACAATCCATTCCACTGCACTGTGTCTACAGGTACCTTTCCAAGGAGCACATATGCATGTATGTTTCCATATAAAATACAATCTCCTGTCACAGCCAGGATCAAATTAATATTGTTCTCACCCTCTGCTCCTCGGTAGTAAGCAGATGCGATGCACTTGAACTTTTCCTGACCTGCTGTGTCCCATCTGTGCAATGGGGGAAAAAAAGAAATTTCAGGTTAATGAAACCCACTGTAACCTGAGTAAACATGCTAATGAAGCAGCAGACTGGTACAAGTTGGAGAAGAATGTGATACCAGAGGAGTGTTACCATCTGGAACATGTTATTCATTAACTACTAACAGAAATACAGTAAAACTCTATTATTTAATGAAGATATTTGAACTCTGTTTTTGTCTTTTTTTTTTTTTTTTTTTTAAATAGTGGTCATTTTGCAGACACAATTCAAGTATTTGTGTTCTGCACAGTAATACCTTTTCTTAAAATATTTGCTCCTCATCTATGTCATCTGCATGTACTTCTAGGGCAATCCAATTTTGAAAATTTTCTGTGCTAATATTAGCTAAATGATATATTGGCCCATATCAGAATCTTGCAATTGCTAGATATGTTATCTGTCCATACACCACAAATTAGAGACCTACAGCTCAGTCCACCGGCCACTGATGACACCATTAAAGAAAAACAAGAAAGTGGTGCTTATTAATGAACGTGATACACAGTCCTCTCAGCTACTGCCAGCACTACAGACGTTTGGGGTTTTGTTATAGCCTAATCTGTCAGTCAGGGACATTTGCAAATTTATCTTGTATGCAAATCTCTCCGCAAGAGGGAGCACTAGTGCGTATCATATGGAAATCTCCTACCCAGCCACTGAAGATTCTGCAGATAATGCAACCTCATGTTCAGTAGCTCATGAACTTTATTGCTTAAGGTGGTAAAATGCTGATGCATCAGTCTAGATTTTTAGAGGGACTCAAGTTCCAAAAGGACAGAGCCTGGCAGAATTTTCAAAAACACAATGGCACTGAAATCAGTGGGAAATGTATTTCTAAGCATTTTTAAGTATTAAGAAATCCCACTAGCCATCTATTTATATCAATGATATCCCAGAAAAAATGTGTTCCTAAGTGAACAGTTTAAGATTCATGCATGAAATATTTCATGCAAAACATCTTATTTCTGCTCGAAGTCACACTACAGTATAGATGATTCAATAGTGACCTCCACAGAACAATACTGCTAGTCACTGGCAATACTAAAGGACACCCTTCAGCAGAACCAAAGCAGGTGAGAGGCCAGGATTCCCACTAGTTTGATAAACAACGCTCAAAATCAAAGATTTTAAGTTCACATTTAATAAAAACATTCCAGTCATTCTACAATTTGGGGAAAATCAATTAGTCCCTAATTAAGAGATGTTGAAATCTCTGACACCTTGCCATTAATTTCAATGACTGCAGGAATAAAAGTCTCAGCAAAGCCAAGTTCAATGCTCATTGTGCCTACTAAACTTAAATGACAGAACTGTGTAACAATAGGACAAATTCTGTGGAAAAACCTTCTACTTATTCAAGAAACTTGAGTAAAAAAGGCAGAACTCCACTGAAACGGCACAAGATGTCCAAGATGAATTTTCATTGACAAACATAACATATTTTAGGGATAAGAAATCCAAGAGAGTAAAATCTTTTGCTAAAACTGCAAATCCAGGTACAGAACCTGTTTTTCAGATCACGTTACCTTTTGTGCAATTTTATTATATTTTTAAAAATATTTATTCCACTAGAGCCTGCAGCAATTCAGGCAATTCAGCAATACAGTCTCTGCTGAGATTGTGCAATGCCTAACCATGCTGTTTTGACTTACATCTGGAGATTATATGGTATTCCAATTACTTCAAAACGTTCAATTTCAAAATCCACTCCAATAGTCGCCTTGTAGTCTCGATCAAATTTATCTTTACAAAATCTGCAATTAAAAAAAAAAAAAAGATTAAATACTACTAACAGCCAGCTACAAATAACTGCAAAACAAACACTGTCTAGGGTAAATTATGAAGAAAAGAATTAACGATCTGTGGAGTGGCTATATATTGCAGAAGCATATACAAAAACATCAAGAAATAATTAAAACCCAAGAGATAATGGATAACAAACTAGAAAGTATATACATCCGGTAAGCTCTTAAGACGAGGTGAGAATCAGAATAAAATATCTTTGGACTGTCAAGGAAGATAGTCTCTTACAGTTTTACTTACAAGGGAATATAAATAATGACCCACATGTTTAATCAATGAGATTAAAAACTTACCATATCTACTGAAGAACACAGAAGCAATAATAACAATATAATGCAAACATAGACAGAAAGCTGACCATGAGCTACAGAAATTCAGTGATCTGTTCACTGGACTTTTAGATACAAAAACCGTAAGAGCTGTTTTTAACATCCAGTAAAGAATCAAATAACTATTCTTTAAGGCATTCTGCATTTTCTCTGTCTTATTTTATGAGCTACAGAAAAATTCAAGCTTCCTCCCCAGTCTTGCAGCTGTAGAAATGAGTACAGCTACCCATACAAGAATGACCTAAAAATGTTTCAGTGAGCAATCCTACAAGTAAGGAGAAAACATGAAACCAAGACTCAGACATGCTGGAAAGATTTTTTTTGTTTGTTTGTTTGTTTGGTTTTTTGTTTTTTTACCTTATGATCATTTAGCCTTTAGACTGGATTGCTTAAGGAAACACTGTGTCATATCTGACTGGATAAAAATAGTTCAGAATATAACATATACTGATTGAAGTGCTGGAGCATGACTTTCCGTGTTGGTATAACAAGTCTGTCTCATACTGTAGACTTTGTTTTTTCTTTAATAACAAAACCATGGTTCAAAACAAACCATGAAGTACTACCCTGAACAAAGAGGAATGGACACATTATAACATTTATTTGAGAAACTGCAGAAACAAACAGTCTGCTGAGATACACTGTACCTGTTGATAAGGCTGGTTTTCCCAACATACAGGTCTCCTACCACAACCACTTTGGATATTTTCAGCCTGTTATAAATATTTGAAAACATTATATGTTTTTAGTAGCAATTTCAACATTCTCTCTCTAAAAATTCTGATTTAGATCCTTAAATTGCAAGCGATGAGCACATGTACCTGCGTTTCCAGTTTACCTAAATGCCACTGTGCTGCAGGATGAGTCTTAAACTAAATCAAATCAGAGTCTTAAATTAAAAGAAGGAAAAAGAAGGTCACCAAAAAAACAAGCCCCCCTGGAACAGAAATAGTCCATTTCTTACTCTGCATAAATTCTAGTCTATTAAGATTGCTTTGACCACAAGTATATACATTTGGCAGTTTACACACACAGTATCTGCATCCTTTTCATTAAAATTAATCACAAGTTTCTCATTGTCTTTAATAGTACAAATCAAGTCCTAAGTGCAGAAACAAGAAATTGCTCACAATAAAATAACCCACTGCAGAACTTGTCTCTGGGGAAAAACCCCCACATGGTTAGAGCCAATACATTTGCTGACTATCTGGAATAATACTAATCTGAAGCTGGCTTCATGCAAATAATCTTCTTTGCTCTGGGTCCTCCCACAGAATACAGCAGATGAGCTTTAGGTGACTCAGCCTGCACTCTTCAAATTGAAATGTAGTGGTTCTTTTAGGAGATACAGGTGGATAAGTGAATGTAAGTGTTATTTGTTGACCTACACTTGGGTTGACATCACCTGTGCACATGCTACCAAAACAGCTTAAGAGGTTTAATGTTCTTTTGTATCAAGGAATTGCTTTTTAAACAAAGGAATTAGTCCTCTATTGAATACTATTTCTGGTTACATCAGGCTTCCATGTGATGCTGATTCCAAGTTTTCTATTCTAAATAGTCCAAGTCTTGACTGTTAAGCTTCATGACTAATATTAAAAAAAAAAAAAAAAGAAGGCATTTTGTTTGCCAGTCTATGCTAACTGGGTGGCCACAGGCCCCTAAGCTGCTGACATCTCTGCCTGATTAACTATTACTGATAAAATACTGAACAAAATCAACAACCTTAAGGGAAAAGCAAACAAGTAAGTGATGGTTTAGAGGTGTGTGTTCCATTAATTCACGTTGGGGAAAAAAACTCCCTAGATCAGACAATTTAATACATTGATGGAATATCAAGAGACTCAAATACAGACATTAGCTACTGAATTTCTCAGACTACCTTTCCAAATTACCAAGAAATATTCCATTACTTGGCATAATGGAAAAGAAAGATAATGGTTATTCCTGTCAAGTTTTACAACTACTGTACAAAACACTCAGTTGTCTGTCCCTCCTACCCCTGCCCCACCAAAAAAACGACCTAATAATAATCATATCTAGACAGCAGTGGCAGAAAAATGGTTTAATTTTATTCACAAAACCATAATGTAAAGCTTTTTAGCTATACTCTGCTACCAGAATAAATGAACTGGAGAGCTGGTTTATTCTGGAAATAAAACCCCAAATAGATCTTGGTTACAGACAGGGGAAAAAAATGCCTCAAGTCACTAAAGCATGTCTTGCTAGCAAAATTGTCCAGGCTCTTGTTACAAATTTACATGAAACTAAGACCGTGACTGTGCTTCTAAAAAGCGATAAACTCACTGATGTCTCGCAGGGAGACATATTTTGGCTTCAATTTTTTTTTAGTAAGACTCCCTAGTGAAATGAATAAAAAGTTGTGTTTAAAGATGGATATAACAACAAGTCTCATGGTAATCAACAACTCTAGATTTGAAAGAATAGGAGCTAATTGTCAGCATTCATAGAAGCTCCACTTTATGAAAAATCCTTCACACTGAAACACAGAAGCATTTATCACTAAAACATACAGCTATTTATTTTAACTGAATAGCGATGATTTCTAACACAGTTTAGCTTTCTTGCTTTGCTTCAGAAATTAAATCAGTACTAGTAACAGTTCCGAGAGAGACGATGTGAAAAAAAAACCAACCCAAAGGTTATTACTAGGGCACGAAACAGGTTATTTGGATTTTTCAATGCTATATATTTACCATAATTTCGCTCCAGTTTTAAGGAAACATTTAAGAGAATTTCTCAGCATGTATACTTCTCAAAGACTAAAGCTAGATTCTTATGTGTTTCACACAACTTAGAACTGTGGTATGTTTCTATCCACCCAAAGTCTTTATTAACTGCTCATTTGGAACACCAACAGAGAATACAGCAAGGCTAGATCTGCCCTACTCCTTACAACTGCTCTAGAATTTGGTTGCCATACTGAGTTGCATGTGCAAAATTCAACACTAATTTTAAACAGTCAATTAATCCTTTGAACTAAGAGTTTAGTCAAAGTTGCTAAACAGTATTTACTGCTAAACAGCTCCACTATTTTTTCAATGCTACTTATGCCAGCAGACAAAGTGTCTTTGACTTAGAGGAAGGAGAGGCACCCTATTCATTTACTGTCAAACAGGTCACAGAACTGCCATGTGCACAGGCTTAGCTGCCTTGAAACACACTGGAGTGAGGAAAATGAGGAATGATGGAGGAAAAGTCTATGAAGGAAGCAGGCTCTAAAAAGCTTTAAATACTTTCTTCATTGCATACTTCGTTTATTACAGACTTACCCGACCGTTCCTGCGCTCTGCTGACAAGCAGTCCTGACCTGCGCATGGAAGTGCTCTTTGAACTGCAGACAGGCCTCAGGTGTGTACCACTGAAAACAGGAGGGAACAGCTACCGGCATAAACTGTGTGATGCCTACTTTGCAAGAAGTCATATCAGCAAGGAAAAAAATAGATAAGAAGATTAATTCAAAGAGTTTGTCAAGCACAGGGATACCCTGGCATGAGAAAACGGATAGCTTGGGTGAGAAGGCTGTAAGGCTTCCCCACAGTTATGTTTGTAAAAGCTCCCTTGGACAGCACCAGCATTTCACCACCCGAGCACTCACTAAACCTCCACAGTCAAGTACATTTGCTCATCATCTGTACAACAGCAAGTACCTTAAATTGTCCCAGTAATCCAAGACACACAAGACAAATGCAGATGGGAGCATACAACTAGCAAGTCATTATTGCTACGAAGTGTTTTAGAACTCTTACATGCGCGAAGCACTGTTTTTATTATCAGTTTTTGATCAGGCATTAGTTAAAAATGAGAAAAATGCATTTTATCTTTTGCTTAAAATACCTGTGGTAGCTTTCATAACATTAAAAGCAAAATACGTGGCTGAGATTAAGCATGGAAAGAAAATGCTAGCTCCCTTGAAAGGATCTTCAGAACAACTGAAAAAACAAGAGTGGTAATTCCTTGTCCTTCCCTGTCCTTAACTCTTCTATTATACTTCAAGTACAGAACTCTTTGGGGACATCAATGATCTTTTCTGTTTGTGTTTCTACAGTGCCTGCTCCATTTGATCCATATGACATCCGTATGTTCCTATACGGACAGAAAATTAAAATTGCCTCAAATTCTTCAACCAAAACCTCCATATAGACATAATAAGACTTTTTGCACATTTAATATCAGCTATGGTTCTTATTTCCCCTCAGTGTAGAAACTGTTTAAGCATGCAATTATTAATATTTGGCTGAAATAACATGATATATATTATAAGGTAACACTTTTGTGGCAAGAGTCACTTTCTATGAAGGTTAAAAGATGAAATGAGGATTATTAGTAAAGAGATCAGCATTGAATGGGAACATGAGGTCACATTCATCTTTGAAAGAAATCCTTAAACAATTTGTAATTTTAGCAGAAGACAACAACTGTACATTAAATTAAAATACTATTAGCACAAGGGAAAGATAGCTCATTGTGGCAGGTGCTACATACTGTGACCAGAGGGATAAAGAATACCTACCTTGGGAAACTGGGAGATTATTCTGTCCCTGCTCACTGGGGGAATCAAATGCATTAGGTTCGTCTTCATCCTCCAAATTCAATTAAATTCTGCCAGAGAGGAAATAGGTAAGGAGAAACATAGTATTCAGGAATTGCCTCAATACAGGGAAAACATTAGAAAAAAACACCCCAAACAGTTCTTACAGACTCATCTTCTTTTTTGCCTTTCAGTACAACTGGCAGTTCTTTGAGTTTACATGTGTTAAAGAAAACCTGTTTCTTGTGTAAAAGGGACCACATCAGTGCGCAGCGCTGTAGTAGCAAACAGTGGCTTTCTGAAACTACAAGGCACCAACTTTAATCCATGGGAGGGCAGAGAATTGCTCACTTAATTCAACATAACTACTTGCAGTTTAGCCCTCAAAGGATTTTGCAGTGTTTAATTCAAAAATCTTCCTCATCATTGTTTGAAATGCCTTTGCACTAATCACATTAATAAATGTTAGGGGATACCAGCTTTCATTTGGTCAGAATAAAAGAGGGAAGATGAAGCTGCCATATTTCTTGGCACATCATCAAACTTTCATCCCAGATCAGCTCAGAAAGAATGAAATGGGTAGATAGTCTGACTTGGAAAAAGAATAATGTTCACATGACAATCACAAATGCACTTAGCTATCCCACTTGAGACATATCAATTTGGTTATGCAACGGAACCTCGTGGGTTGTTGGGGGAGGGGACCCTTAATAGGGTACCAATTTCTTGCTGACATTCAAAAGATCGTTTCTAGTAAGAACATTCATCACGTAGCAAAGCGCAAGGAAGGACTCACCGAGCAGCAGCTGATGCAGCAGGATCCCAGCCACACAAACAGCTCAGCCTGCTGCTGCGTGGCCATAGCAACAGGCTTGCAACAGCTCCCGGGAAGGCGGAGTTGGAGGAATTTAACTATACATAGGGCCCTAGTTTTAAAAGGACAAACTGGTTTTAGTGGCCATATAGATGCCTTTGATCAGAAACTGCTCCTTAACAAACCAAACGATCCCCTAATCCTGTATAAAACAAAAGTAGTTCGTTTTCTTCAAAGACAGCTTGTATATGTGGATACAAAGAGCAGGATTAACCAAGCAGACAAGGAACTAATGGAGTGGGAAACTGTTAAACAGTGCTAATATTAAGCATAGTAGCAATTATAAAGAAACTCCTGAGGGATTTTTTTCAGAATTTCAACTTGATTTCATCTCAGCTTTAAAGTCAAGGATGTGCGTGCCACCAATGAGATATTCTGAATTACATAAATGTCTTTCTAGTCATTAGTAATCTTGCTTTCTAACATACCAAACACTAAAGACAAGGAATAAGAAAGTACACAGCCCTTTTGTATTGCCCAAGTATTGTTAACCAACTCATTAGTTTAGACAGCATTTACTGTGCTAAACTGTAATTTAAGATGCTAAAAGATTTCGCTATTTACTTCCTTAGGATTAAAATTTCCAAATTTCAGGACAAAATAAAGCTTTCACATTCTAATAGTCATATTTTGATAATGCTGAAACAGGCTTGGACCTCTAAAGATCCAAGAGACAAGCCTCTCCCGTTCCTGCAGCAGACTAAAAATGTTAAAGGGAAAAATCAATGTGGACGAGCAATTTTAAACAAGTAAGTATATAACAAAAAAACTACAGCTGTGTTTTACAACGCTACACTAAGAATAATGTTCAACAAAATTGCTAGTCCACTACTTGGAATTAATGTTTTATTCTCTTTTGCAGGGAATTGCTTTTAAATCACTTCAGGCACTGATGTGATCTCAACCATACTGAAACACCCACTTCTCCCTAAAGAATCCAGATCTGCAGCTGATGGATTATTCACCAAAGTGATGCTACAGTATTTATTTATTATCATATGCATAGTTCTATTTATCATGATACTTGTGACTGTATAAAACTAGAGAGATCTAGACCCCATTTGCGGTGTTCTTTTGCACTTTTGGCAAGTTTGAACGATTTTATGGCAATGTTAATATCTTAAAATAATAGTTCTGAAAATAAAAAGAAAAACCCTGCCAGCTGGTGAGAGTTTCAAACACTAACTTGCTTTCTGCATATTTTCCTAGTTCTAGTTCAACAAATCCTAAGCATGTAAAAATCTGTGATGTGTACATAGGCTGACTCACTGCTCATCTCCTAGAGCTCGTTCACAAACTAAGCTACGAAAAAATCAATTCAACAATCTCAGTGAATCCAAAGTACGGGAGGGACCAAGGCAACCAAACAGGAACACTTTAAATTGAGAGGCCATTACATTTAGCATATTTAATCTAAATCTCACAGACATATAAACATTCCCAATTTACCAAATCAATGAATTAGCAACACTATTAGAGGAAAAAATACAAAGCTGCTAAAAATACTGAGACTTATCGGTACTGAGATCCAGATTTTCTCTTCTTACAGAGCAGAAGCAGATCCAGTCACCAGGGAGGACTGGGAATATAGTGTCTCCATGGCATCACAACCCTCCTTACATCAATGCTGCAGGAACAGTATCACGAACGGATTCTGTGGGCAGACAAAGGATTTGAGGAAGGCATTCAGAAGCTGTACATAAAATAAGTTAATGTCACTACCAGTAGCCAGAATCAGTATTTGAAGTTACGATGAAGGACAAGACAGAACAACTCACACCAAAAGGATGACACCAGAGTTAACAGTGAAGGACAAGAGAGAAGAAAGACAATTCTCTGATCTTCTCCTGCCCCTTCTACATTGAGAAAAGTTCACATTCTTCCTATTGAAATTGGGCGAAACTTTACAAATATATAATTAGTGGAAGCCTAATCTAATTCAAGAAAATAACCTCTTTTTAAATAATCTGCTCTAAGTGTTGCAGAAAAAAGAATCCTTTCCAGAAAATACTTTTTAAAGTAGTAATTTTTCTTTTATGTATTTTGAAGATCAACAAACCAGAATCTATTCCTGTCTTGTATTTTAATCTGGCTGATCTGAGTAACTTTGGCTTTGTAAAAATCTAGTTTGAGAACTCTGATTATTGTAATTGTTACTCAAGCGGAATGGAAAACATCTCAACAACTTCTCTATTTGCACTGAGAACTAACCTTTTACAGCACAAGCTGTTCAGAGTTGGTTTCTTCCTGATGCCAGGTCACATCTGAAAATCCAGAGCACCCTGAAGTTGTGGCAGCAACATTGCCATGATAAATTCTCCCTGTGTACCATCCTTTGAACAACACTATACTTTTTATCAGAATCGTGCCTGAAAGAATGGCAAAGTCTCAAATAGTTATGTGAAACTACATAATGATAATGAAACCCCCTGCTACACATTCTAGCAGTTTATAGTGACATTCTGAAGAAAACTAGGAAAGAAAACCTAGCCCAAAGCTACTGAGCTCCCTTCAACCCACATACCTCAAGGCATCCACCTGCTCTCTCTCTGCCATTAACTTGATCACCATTTTGTTCAATCTTAATTTTTTTCAATTTTGTTCAGCTGAAATGACAGTAAAACCAGGGGATGGGAAGACAGCCTCCCTCCATGCTTTAGCAGAGCAGCGAGGTAGCAGGGCCTGCACGCTGCAGCCCCACGGCGGGGTTCCCGCCATCTCCTCACACGCTCCCTGAGCGGCGCCTCCGTGAG